CTCACCTTTTTACCTATTGCGGTGAAAATCCTGGATCCTGGGTGGGATGAAATTCCATGCAAAGCTTTCAGTTTGCCTTGTTGGAAGAAAGAAGAAATTGGAGGTAATCAGAGGACCAAGATAATTTCGTCGAAGAATAGCTTTATAAAGGGTAACCGTCTTCAATCTCTTAGGCGCGACGTCTCAGGGCGCGGTACTCGATCAAATTTTCTATTTTTAATTGGAATTGCCCCAGATTGGCATATAGACACAGGTTCGATCAGAACGAAGAAATTTTTCTTTGTGTTCGATCTTTGTATTAATAATTATAACAAACTGGTGGAGTAATTTCAGAGAAATAAATAACTATAGTAAAACGTTATAATATTCACTACAAACAATGTTATAACGTTGCGTATAAGTAATTTGCAAAATATAAATCTGATATGCTCATAAGTAATACTATAATACTAAAGTTATTTTTAATTTACCCTAACCTCATTACTCGGAATTTCTATCATTAAAAATGATTAAAATAAATTAATTTTTGTCTATGGCTTGAAAAATGTACGAAGAAAAAATGTCTTACAGGTACTTACTTCCGACGTACCCGTCCAGGTGGAAGTGATTATACTTTAGTATGATAACGCAACAACGTCTAACACGGAATAATAAACGCAATAATTGAGAAGGGTGTAATAACGACTCTATATCAGTATTTGACGTATACGATCGAAATATCGATTCAGACAGCGTAGGATTCTTTTCGAGATTCAGTGACTCGATTCTCGAACCGACGTCGCATCGTACTATAACTCGCTCGATTAATCCCTTGTAGGTAGCGCTATGACAGAATCATTATGATTCATTAAATTGTCAAATATTTTTGATCATAATTAAATGTTATTTAGTGTATACTCATACCTCACACTGTAAAGTACCTGTTAAGTTTCAATTTACATTGATATAATTTTACATTATATCGCGTCTGCTATCTATAAAACCGGTATTACTTGTTATGTAGTAAATATACTATATAATAAGGTAATTCATACATAATAAATATATTATGTGTGAAATACCCAATTTTATTTCACTGTTATCGCGTAAATAGTGCCTGATAAAAGTGTACAACGCACTAGCTTAACATGAAAATGGCAACCGTGTGAAGCAAAAATGGGAATTACAAAAAAAAACAAACAAAAAATGCATAAAATACTATCAATAGAAGCAACAAAAATCGTAACCGTCTCTTTAAAAGAGATTTGTAGTCGGATGTTTGCGAGTTTACACCATACATTTAGTATACTAACCATACATTTAGTAACCATAGATTTCGTACTCGGTATATATACCGAGTACGAAATCTATGGTTGGTACTCTGTAATACCAAAGTAAATGTTGCGATAGCTTTTTAATTTTTCCGTTTATGACGTTATAATAGGTATGTCACAATTGCAGGATTTTACGTTTTGGATTAGTGTCTACTTCTTTATATTAAGCTGTAAGCTTACGTGTATTTTATTTCTCCAGTTTATGGGCACAAACCAGGTGGGATATGTTCTATGGGTATGCTCGTCATACCCATAGAACATACATACATATCCCACCTGACCATGTAAGAAATGAAAACAGTATTTCAAATAATCAAATATATGACGTATCGTTCTATCTTAACAAGTACAAAGGCGCAGTCAATAGAACTGTTACAATTGAACTAAAAAACTAGTCTGTACGTACCGAAATGTAATACTTATTATGATACAAATAAGAATCAATGCTGGCATCAAAACAAATCTACTAGTAAAATGTCAATTAAATATTACTTATTCAACTTAATGAATGCGGTTTAATATGATTACAAAGACCACAACAACGATTTTTATATTCGAAGTGTCTTTAATCCCTTGCTTATTAACGATAATTCTTGTCAACAACGTTTTAATGGTATTATGAGTAAGAAGGGCTTATACTAGATAACATCGTTATACAAAGGAAGTCAGGTGGTATTTTATATTCTAATTTAAAAAGTCGTATATAATTTTCAAGAATAGTGACTCAAACCAAAATAGTTAATATCTATCTTATAATACAGGTGCATTCAGAATATGTATGTGCATTCAAATTTAATTGCGAAAAAAGAACACCGACCTTTTTATTGTTTAAAATAAACAAGGAACAACTTGGACTGGTGTACAATTCGTCGGCGATGCACTTAGACATTTTTTTATGAATTTTTTCCTAATGAATTAATTGATTTTGAGATAGCATATTGTTCTGGCAAGTCATCGAATGTACACGGTGATGGGAGTCAAGTTACTGGGAAGGTATTAAATAATATCTCAAGAAGTTTCTTTTCCAAAAAGTTATGTGAAATTTGTTTGAAAATTAATTTTGAATAACATGGGCAGTGTGCTATGTATCATAATATTGTGACTAATACATGTTTTTATTTCATAAGATTTATTGGAGATGATGAGCTTAAATCTAAACTTCGTAGCTTAGCCCACTGACGAAAAGTCTGTCTGTTTTCTACAGATATATTTCGGTGACTGTGCTCATGAGTTCCATGAGCTCATGGAGCTGCTCCTGCCCGCGCCCTTTTATCATCGTACAGCGTACAGCGGGATATCATCCTTACTTGGTCGATATTCCCTTCAGGCGTACTTTTACACGCGTTCTTCTTTATCTTTTACTATGCGCACAGTTCGTGACACATGATTTAGCTTATTTAATGATTATAAACGTAGTAAAGAACCAAAATTAGCGATTATACGCGATGGAATTTGAAACAGCTCCGACTGTTGTAACGGTCGAGCAGGGAGTGACCGTGGTACGAAAACAAAATGAGAAAGTGAAGGAAGACGGAACAATTCAAATTTAAAATTTAAATACACGTAAAATAAAAAAAATGATAGGATACAAGCGGAAAGAGGCGATACAAAAAGGTGAGATGTCGGTGTAAGGAGGTTACACCGTCACAATTTTATGCCAAAGATCATTGTTCCTTGCAGATATCTAAATATTCTCTTCACGGTTTGCCAATCGTCTTTTGTGGGGTTTTCCTACTTCCTTGATACTATGCCCACGTGTGTAGTTACCATTAGGTACGCAAGAGCAACTACAGCTTCTCAGTAAAGACAAATTTCTTTTTTCCATTCTTCTACTTCTCTTGATTCAGCAGAAGAATCCTTTTGTATCGGTGTTGAAACGGTATTGCAGTTCAACATACCAAACCGTTCCAAGATTTTTTAGTATAAACTTATAAAGATGTCATTATCTTTTGATCTATCGATTTCCAAACCTAAGGACGCAGGTTCCGTGGTTATTTTCAGCCTCTTCTTAATATTATTTAGGAAATCGTCGACTAACTCTTTACCTGTTGTAGCTACTAGCCCGTCTTCTACATACAATGTTATGAGCAATTTTTTGTTCATTACCTTCTTAATGAAAAGACAGCTGTCAGAATCACTCTGTTGAAAGTACATATCAAGTAAATTCTCTTCAAAGCACGAATTCCAGCAACGTGGCTGCCTGCTTTAGTCCATAAAGACTTTTCTTTAATTTCTATACTTTCGACGACCCATCGTTGAAACCTTCTCGCTGTTTCATGTATATTTCCTCATCTAATTTTCCATTGGGGAAAGCTGTTGACACATCAAATTGTGTTAAGTACAGGTTCTCCCTGGCACTTACACTAAGCAAAGCTCTGATTGTAGACATTCTTGCTAAAACGGACTAAAGGTGGTAAAAAATTTGGTGGTAATTTACATAGCGTCCAGACATCGTTGTCCTTTAATGAATCTATCTCGCTCTGCATAGCCTGCATGTGGGAAATATGAAAGGACCCTAAATAACTGAAAAAACTAAGGTAGGTCGACGACGATCATTGTCATCAACATTTCGACTTAAACACTTTTATTGCTGGATATAGGGCTCCTGCAAAGATCATCACTAATTAGAGTCACCTGAAATTCAGTCTTCCTTTGGACTAATTAAATCAAATAATTTATTTCAGATCAAAGAAATCGATGTGACCAATTTACAAAATTAAAAATTTAAATCAAATAAGTACATTAATTGAAATAATTGATCTGACAATGAAAATTATAAATAGCATAAAATTGTAATTGAAGTAAAAATATAAATGAAAACAAAACAAATCTAATTATTATTGAAAAATTAAAAATAAAAATTTGAAAACATTAAATTAAATACAAACTTAATAAAATTGGTAGGCTATATTATGGTTTCTTTATATATTTAGTAGTTCAAAAAGTGGTCTCATTATACATATAGCACATAAATCACATACATAATAAGAACAATCGAATGCACCATCAATTATATACACTGAAATGTAACAATAAGGAATTAATTATACAATACGGGAATGGTTACAGATGTAATTAACATACAGTACCCAAAGTAAAATAATTCGTCATAATTTCCCATTGAAAAAAGAGCCTTAAACATTACTCACATAGTTGAAAATAAGTATAACAAAGTTCTTGAATTTTGCGCTGCAAAACAATAAAATGAAGAAAAATGTATAGTAATTCAATAAGCACGTAGCGGTAGGTAAAAGGGTTTTTGAGATTTTAATAGAATTGTTAAGTGAGCCGTAACTTATTACTCTATTCAACAGATGAATGCTCTAATCTAAAGAGGTAATTTAAATTTTGAATTACGGGTCAATTGTTGACAACATTTTACTTAATTTACATAGTAAACAGCGATTTGTTTTGTTATAAAATGTATTGTTATTTCTTTTGTAAAGTATCTGTACACCCTAATTATTATCCGAAATAAACTAATCGATGAAATAGTACCATTAAACACTACAATAGTAAAATCATTCATGAAATTATCCCTCACACTCTAACGTTCATCTCTGAATAGAGCGACATTTGTACTAAAAGTTACCCATAGATGGCGTTAAACAATTTGTAGCTATTTCTGAACCGCGATATTACGATTTTCCTTCGTCGAATGACCTACGCCATACAGTTACGTAACGCAAACTTACCTGGCACAGGGGACATCGAGAAGGCGGTTCCCCCAGGGCGAGGCTTTTCCATTGCACTGCGGTTGAGCTGACCTCTGCGTTTACCACTAGTGTGGGTAAATCGGGTGCATAATTTTTGGTAGTGGGGACAGCGCAGCGGCGCGCTGTCCCCTTTACAAAACAATCTGAACTGAAAGTGTAATGACTAATTAGGTACATTATGTAAATATTAACTCTCTTGAGTGTAATATAACATAATAATCGGAAAAAATCTTACATCTATTTTTAAAGAATGTTTGTATAATAAACACGATATTTTATAGTATTTGTATTTTGAAATCAATAAATAAAGTCTAAAAATTGATATATTTTTAGTCTGTCATGCAAACTTGGTGTTCACGTTACGTCATAAGGTAAGTGAGTTAAGGAACCTCACCGTATTCACTGTTTGTGTGTTACCTAGTACTTTTTCTCCGTTTCTGTAAATTTTTTGGAAGGGGAGTTGTTAATCCATACGTAAAATTCTAATGACGTCAAGTGCATATATTATAGTCTAGTTTGTTTACCTACAAATGACGTCACACATTCTGATTTAATAACAGAATGTTGTTTGCGCGGCAAATTGTTTTTAATTACATTTAAACGTAATTTTAGAGACTTGAAAAGCTTTGTATTTTTCTTGGATGTATTCCATTGTTGTTAATTTGAAATACTCCTTGAAAAGTCATCCCATACCTTATAGGGTTGCCTGTCGATACCTCCAATGTACAATATGCCAATTTTATTTTTTGGTAATGTTCTGTTATTTTTGTAAACAGCTATGTTTATTAACTAATATTATGCTCCTTGAATTTTGGGAAAAAATAAGAAACGAAAATCAAAATTGGAAAAAAAAATCGTATTTTGTAAAAAAAAAAAACTAATGGAACTAAAACAAAATAAAAGGTCCAAAAATTAAATTGCCGTAGTATTCATTGGAGGTATCAGTATCATGAATTTACTTTTTGTTATCTGGCATAGACACTAAATCTGGCGCACTAAGAAAGTAAACGGTATGTACGTCGCGTCGGTCAAATCGCGACGAGAAAATTGCGCTTAATATTAATCCTGACGTTTTTTGATATGAAAAACTATGCATTAAGTAAATCACACTATGATACGCAAATATATAACATCGCTGCCTTTTTTGAATTCAGCAATGATCTTAAATACCTAAGTGAACTAAGTATACAGCGACGAGCAGAGCAAGCGAAACTTTATCCTGAATAAAGCACCCATCTTCTTACTTCTTAAAAAACTTTCACCGACTTGAAAAAAGAGGGAAGTTCTCAATTCGACTGAATTTTTTTGTGTGAATATTACACGATTACGTCGACAGTTGTGAAATCGTATTATTCTGTTTTTTCGGGACGGGACGAGGCGGGGCGAATAAGTCGTGCGCCTGACGGTAAGCTACACGCCTATCCCTAACAGTTGCAGTACCACTCAGAGCTTTAAATCGCAAGGATCTGAGGGGCACTGCCACTGCGCCTGCCACCCTGAGACATAAGTTGACAAGTCCCATGTGTCTGTATATATCACCTATATCACCCATATCACCCTTCAAAACCGGATCAGAGTATTGCTGATATTACTACTGCTTGGCGCCAGAAATAGGTAAGATGGCAGTGCTATTCTGGATGAACTCTTTACAAGGAGCTCTACTGCTACTACAATACTACACTAATACAATTCTAAAATACTGCGTTATTGCATAAAGGCAGCGATATATGTATATTATAAGTGGTCCTTATTGCAACGAAAGAGTACAATTTGATTCATGCTTAAGATTGCATCAATCGTGAGCGATCGTGTAGAATTTATTGTTTCTTTATAAACATTCTTTATACGCCGTGCTGCTAGAGCTTAGGGGATGTGACGTCACGAGTAGATCGTCGCTGGATTTTAAGACAGGATGTTATGGTTCCGCATAATTAATACAAAGAAAGCAAATGTTATACCCGGTTGATATTTGGTCATTAACGCTTATGTTCTTTTTAAGAGTTGAAATGTTCATCTCACATCAAGCAATCAAAATAGCTAAACAAAGTTTCAATACGACTCATTAGCGTTAAACTAACTGTCACTTTCTTTATTTTTTATTTTTTTATAATATCAAGTGCGGGACGAGCAAGTTGTGTGCTTGGAGGTAAGCTACAGGCCTATCCATAACAGTTGCAGTGCCACTCAGAGCTTCAAATTGCAAAGATCTGAGAGGCACTGCCACTGCGTCTGTCACCCTGAATCATAAGTTGACAAATCTCATGTGCCTGTAATTTCACCAGCACCCTTACCATTGAGAACCGGAACGCAGTAATGGCACATTACTGCTTGGCGGCAGAAATAGGTAAGGTGGCAGTACTTATTAAATAATAATAATAAAAACGCACACACTCAACATAGTCCCGCACTAGGGAAACCCTGTGTCGCGGGTGCCATAGACACACACATAGACAACCACAAATTACACCCAAACTCACGATAGAAATATATGTAGGCCATACAAATATTTCTCCCGGCCCGGGAATCGAACCTAGGACCTCTGCGTGGCAGTCCGGCATGGTAACTGTTCGGCCATGGAGGCAGTAACCTCTTATGAACGATGTAAAATTAATAAAATGTGAACATTGTTGTTTTCCTGTGCGGTATTTTCAAAGAGATCCAAAACTTTAACATCTCAATACCACCAAAGCGACACTTCAACTTGATGTCAATTGAGTAATTAACTTTCACCTGCCATTGACATTCAGAAGATATTCATGACGATAGGATTACGATGCTATGCTAAACATTTTGACGTCTTCATTCCTGATGATATCTTGGTTAAAATGTCTCTATTTAGCAATTGATTTAAGAAAGATTTGGGAGAATACTGCTTTTAAGTATTCATTTTTGAATCAAATAAGCTTTGGAATTGGTTATTTGAGATCGTCCGATTTAAGTAATTGATCTATAGAACAAAGCATGGAGAACACTATTAAAAATAACGTATACATAATAATTTATGATGTTCCCTGTTATGCTCTGTAAATAAACAATAAAATAAATATGTTATCGTCATCACATAAATTCTAAATATATTACATGTATTACAATTATTTGCCTCCGTGGCTGAACGGTTACCTTTCTGGACAGCTAAGTATCCGTCCCGGGTTCGATTCCCAGGCCAGGAAAAATTTGTATAGAATCGTTTATTTGTCTCGTGAGTTTGGGTGTAATTTGAGGTTGTCTATGTGTGAGTCCATGGCATCCGCGACACAGGGTTTCCCTAGTGCGGGTCTATGAGAGTGTGCCTTATTATTATTAAAAAGGAATATACTGTCTCTGTATTATTGTAATGCACTTAGTATATTTTAACCTGTATTAAGATTTAGAAACTTTTTAGTGTACATACATATGTGTAGTATAGCTATGCGACACGGAGAGAAAGTATTTTAAATAATGTAGATGGGATATTTTGCTTCATAAAGATATTATTTAATTTTAAAAGGAAGTAATAGTGCACTCAAAGACTTAAAAAGTTGTTTGCCTCATCTTAGAATCGAACCGACCAAATACAAAATAAAACTGCTTGTATTTTTATGATGCCAATCAAAGGGGTTAATTATAGGGATTAAATCTTTTTACGTAACATAGCATCTTAAATTAAAGGAAAATTTATAATTAAGTTTAGGAAAATGAATTGTATTGTATTTTACTCTCTCGATATTCGTACTTCAAGAGGACGTAATAGTAGGAGAACAGCCGAGTCCCTAAATAATTGTTTTTCTTCATGAATGTGTACTGAACAGATGGACTGATGAGACTGGCGAGATCTCCAAACCTGACACTATTAGATTTTGTTCTGGGGAAATGTGGAAAGATTTAATGATATTATTATCGCGTATTATTTCGTATTTGTCATAATAAAATAAGAATATCTACGAGCAGCGAACTTAATAGAAGATTGAGAATTGCATACAAGTCAAAGCCAAGCCTCCCAAGCAGAGGCCGTGGGTTTGAATCCAGACTCGCACCTCTGAGTTTTTCGGAATTTACGTGCAAAATATAATTTGAAATCTATTTAGTTTTCGGTGAAGTAAAACATCGGGACGAAACCTGTATGTCGAAGAAGGTTCAACCGGCGGAAAACGTGAGAAGTTCCCAACCCATATTGAGGCAGCGTGGCGGATTATGGCTAAACTCTCGCCTGAGAGGAAACCCGTGTCCAGCAGTGGGTCGTATAAATGTGTTGACGTTGACACAAGAACACACTGGACACCTGTGTGTACCACCTGAATTACAAATTGTAGAACGTTTTCAACTCTAGTAAACGACCATTGTTTTCAAACCTGTTAATACCTAAGTGATAAAGTTTCAATAAGATAGCAACAGGAACTGGGTTAGTGTATCGAGACCCTTACGAGGTCAAAGGTAGGTGCCCTTCCACGCTAACTGGCACTAAGTGGCAGCTAAATGGCACTCATGCTACTAATTCTGGTTTTGTTTGAACAAACTGTTATATACCATCATAGGAACTGTCGCTGCGTTTGAAAGTTAAATTGGTGTTACAGACTGATGTTAATATAACGTACAATGTATATACGCTTTTATAAGCTACTGATATAACAAATCCTGGGCAATTATTTAAAACTGAAGTTTCATAAACGACGATTTTTATGAGTGAAGCCTATGTAACATAGCATCAGGAACTGGGACCCTTCTGATATCCTTAATTTTGTTCTGTTATCAGGTGGTGGGACGAACAAGTCGTGAGTTGTAAGCGACACGCTTCTATCCATAACAGTGGCAGTGCCAATCAAAGGTTTAAATTCAAGATGTAATGTGAGCATTACTGCGTTCCGGTTTGACAAGTAAGGGTGCTGGTGAAATTACGGGCACATGAGACGTGTCTCATGGTGACGGGCGCGGTGACGGTGACCCTAAGAGCTTTGCGATTTAAAGTTCTGAGTGACACTGCAACTGTTATGGATAGGCGTGTTCCTTACCACCATGTGCACGACTTGTTCGCCCCGTCACGTGGTTATTATAAAAAAAATCCCAAAGATCTGACGAGGACTGCCTTTGCGCCCGTCACCCTGAGGCATAATGTTGGGCACATAAGTCTTATGTGCTAGTAGTTTCACAAGCACTT